CGCGGATAGCTGAGCTAATCTAGGCGGGTCATGTTTGGACGAGTTATTAATATACAACTAGGTACAACTAGGTACACAACAGCATTGTGAAGTGTATTCATGGTCATTGGGGACACTCGTGTGTTTACTTTTAAACACGACGAACCGTATCGTATTTTGGTAGCTCGTGCGACTTCGATTGTCACGAAATGTATTTCAAATCAGTGTCGCTGCCGTGGAAATTTTTAGTAGGGACTGAACTGGAATAGAACTCAAGCTACTTTTATTATGTTAAAAGGGAAATATATATATTTATTAAAGTAACGTCAATCTAAAATCTGAATTTAATTGTGGAATAGACTTATGACGTGGCAACCGATCCGCATCCCCGTATTGGCGTCGTTTCCGGGAAATAGTAAAATGCAAATTACAAGCCAACTGTGCCCTCGTTTCTGGGAAACTCACGAAAATTGCAGCTTTGAACAATGGCGGACGATGTCTTGGTCGCGAAAGTCTTTAATTTTATTTGCGGTAGTGGTGGTTTTGTCGAATTGACTGTTCTCTTAAAGCCATCGTCGCCATTAGGAAGCAGAAAAACCAAGCGTGAAGCCAAAGACTGGTTGAAAGCTCAAGGAGCTCAAGCTGGTTTCGTCTGCGTAACAGATGAAAATGATGAAATCACTGGTGTCCGAATTGATTTGAGAAAGAAAATTTGTCACCAATATGCAGTCAAAGGTTCGTGTCGACGCGCGCAAGGCAAGTGCAAATACTGGCATGTCTGTAAAAGTTACATCGAAGGAGTTTGCGAAGGGAAGTGCCACCTTTCACATGATTTTCACAGCGAAGACAACAAGCAGAAAGCGAAAGAGCTGAGACTCGAAAAACTTTCAAACGGGACGATAAGGAATATTGTTGCCTGGAGCCTACCACAGGTTTGTCAGTTGTATTTGAGAAATGAATGTAAGTCTGATAAATGTCCGTATCTTCATGTTTGTTCACAAGATGTGCGAGCGTTGTCATGCAAATGTGTTTTGTCGCACGACATGTCTGACTCGCATAACATCAAGATTCTTAAAGAATACGATTTGGTACCGCCACACCGAGTAATGAACAAAANGACGATGTCTTGGTCGCGAAAGTCTTTAATTTTATTTGCGGTAGTGGTGGTTTTGTCGAATTGACTGTTCTCTTAAAGCCATCGTCGCCATTAGGAAGCAGAAAAACCAAGCGTGAAGCCGAAGACTGGTTGAAAGCTCAAGGACCACAAGCTGGTTTCGTCTGCGTAACAGATCAAAATGATGAAATCACTGGTGTCCGAACTGATTTGAGAAAGAAAATTTGTCACCAATATGCAGTCAAAGGTTCATGTCGACGCGCGCAAGGCAATTGCAAATACTGGCATATCTGTAGAAGTTACATCGAAGGAGTTTGCGAAGGAAAGTGCCACCTTTCTCATGATTTTCACAGCGAAGACAACAAGCAGAAGGCGAAAGAACTGAGACTCGAAAAACTTCCAAACGGGACAATAAGGAACATTGTTGCCTGGAGCCTGCCACAGGTTTGTCAGTTGTATTTAAGAAATGAATGTAAGTCTGATAAATGTCCGTATCTTCATGTTTGTTCTCAAGAAGTGCGAGCGTTGTCATGCAAATGTGTTTTGTCGCACGACATTTCTGACTCGCATAACATCAAG